TGCTGCTGCTGTTGTTGTTGTTGTTGTTGCTGCTGCTGCTGCTGCTGTTGCTGTTGTTGCTGCTGCTGTTGTTGTTGTTGTTGTTGTTGTTGTTGGGGGGCAGATGACTGAGATGATGGGGGGATCATCACTTGCTGGGTGGGAATCTATAAGAATAGAAATGATAAAGATTGAGTGGTAGAAACAAGAATAAAAACAGACACATTTTTACAGTGGCAATGAGGGTAAAGCCTGCAAATCGGATTTCTTTCTCATCTAAATCTTTCTGATTGTGGCTCTGGTCCAGAGCCTGATGCACTTACCTGTTGGATAACATAGATACCATTAGACAATTTTGATCAACTCTGCATGTACGATACCTGAGTTAAAACTAACCACAAAGACTGAAACTGCCCTGCAGAACAATAGAGTCTTGGAGTTTATTTTTCCACCTAGGACATGATATCCGAAAGACTGTGGGTGTATTTAAAGTGGCAACCGGAAAATGGGACATTTTATCTACCTGAGGGGGGAGCGATGGTTGGTAGTACACTCCGTACTATAAGAAACAAAACATATCACAGGGTAAGAGTAGGGAACTTGAAAATAAAAAAAGAAAATTAGATAAAAACTAGGACTCGGAACACTCAGCTACTTTTAATGCAGCTGCCAGAAGCTATAGGCTTTAAAGGTTAACTTAACACCCCCTGACAATCATGTTTTTGCTGACAGAGACTGGTTGAAGTTCACATTCACTGCAGTGATATAGGAGTGTGCTCTAGGTGTGTGTTCAGGTAACCCTGACATTACTGCTTGATGTGTTGTTTAGGGCACAAGATTTGACATTTCTAACTTGAGGTCAGTGAAAAGGGTCTTTCAGTTGGTGTTAAGTTGCTCTTTAAAGGTTATTGAGACACACAGGACAACATATACCTGTGGAGGTGCCCCGGGGACGGACTGGTTTGTAGGTGCGAGAGGAACAACTTCAGACTGGACACCTTGAATCTGGGGTTGAACCTTGAACACCAGAGAGAAAACAACAGCACATGATGAAAATGAGACAGAGACGAAAGTAAACACAGGGCACGTGTCAATGTACAGGTTAAGTTCCCGTTCACCACAACCCAGGTTCTTTGCTTAACATAATGGGTCATGTCTTTGGGGGAGAGGTAACTTCACACGCAACTGGTACAGTTGATAAGGACTGCTGTAACTGTATAACTGGGCATTGCAAGACAAAGAACGGGGGGTCAAACAAGCAAAAAGTAATACACAGAAATCCTATCTATATGTTCGTTTTAAATATATACTTAACTCTAAGAAACGACTGGAAATACATCTGATTCTCCTGA